CCGCAGCCTCATCTGCCTTCAGCCTCGGCCCTCGGCCTCCGGCCTCAGCCTCAGCCTGCCTCAGCATCAGCTCTGCCTCAGCCTAGCCTCAGCCTGCCTCAGCATCAGGCCGCAGCCTGATTCAGCCTCAGCATCAGTCTGCCTTCAGCCTCGGCCTACAGCCTCCGCCTGCCTCAGCCTCCGCCTGCATGAGCTCAGCCTCAGCCTAGATCTGCCTCCGCATTCAGCCGCCTCACCTCAGCCTCAGACACGCCTCACCCCAGCCTCCAGCCTGCTTCAGCCTCAGCTCAGTCTGCCTTCAGCATCAGCCTCAGCATCAGGCTGCCTCAGCTCAGCCTGCTTCAGGCCGCAGCCTCAGCCTCAGCCTGCCTCAGCATTTTTTCAGGGGCGGGTGGCCCCTGACTCAGGCCTCAGCCTCAGCCGCCTCGAGCCTCAGCCTGACATGGCGAGTTCTGGGCCTCAATCTTGCCTTCAAGAAGGGGCCTCAGCCTCAGCCTGTCTCAGCCTCAGCCTGCATCAGCATCAGCCTCAGCCTCAGCCTGCCTCAGCCTCAGCCTCAGCCTGCCTCAGCCTGCCTCAGCCTCAGCCTCAGCCTGCTTCAGCCTCAGCATCAGTCTGCCTTCAGCCTCGGCCTCAGCCTCAGCCTGCCTCGGCCTCACCCTGCATCAGCCTCAGCCTCAGCCTCAGCCTGCCTCAGCATCAGCCTGCCTCAGCCTCAGCCTCAGCCTGCCTTAGCCTCAGCCTCAGCCTCAGCCTGCTTCAGCCCTAGCCTCAGTCTGCCTTCAGCCTCGTCCTCAGCCTGCCTCAGCCTCAGCCTCAGCCTCAGCCTCAGCCTCAGCCAGCCTGCTTCAGCCTCAGCCTCAGTCTGCCTTCAGCCTCGGCCTCAGCCTCAGCCTGCCTCATCCTCAGCCTGCCTCAGCCTCAGCATCAGCCTGCCTCAGCATTCAAAATTTGGCCCGGGAATGGAGTTCTGGGAACTCGAAGAACACGAAGTGGCCTACAGTTGGCTCCGGGCATTCAAAATCATGCCCAGGAATGGAGTTCTTGGCTCCGGGCATTCAAAATCATGCCCAGGAATGGAGTTCTGGGAACTCGAAGAACACGAAGTGGCGTACAGTTGGCTCCGGGCATTCAAAATCATGCCCAGGAATGGAGTTCTGGGAACTCGAAGACCACGAAGTGCGTTACTGGTGGCTAAAAAAAAAATCTCCGGATTCCCGCGGCAGTCCCCGGATTCCCGCGGCACCCGTCCGGCATCTGCCCAGACCCCCCTGGGGAGTCATGATGCTCTCTTTTGAGACCACTCGAAACCTATCAGTCTTCGCTGTACGTAACTTACAAAACACAAGGTTTCGCAACACGGATTTTCAACAAAAGCGTGCGCGCGTGCGCTCTTGCGTCGTCGTCGTCGTCGTCGCCGTCCTCCCTCCTCCCGCGTCGTCGTCGTCGTCGCCTACGTCGTCCTCTGTCTTTCCTCGTGTTCGTCGTCGTCGTCGTCGTCCTCTTTGGCGTCGTGGTGGTTTCCGTCGTCGTTGTTGCCGTGGTAGTCCTTCCTCCTCCTCCCTCGTCGTCGTCGTCGTTCGTCGTCGGCGTCTCGTCGTCGTCCCTCCTATTTCGTCGCCGTCGTCGTCGTCGTCGCCGTTGTCGTCGTCGTCTTCCCTCCTCCCTCGTCGTTGTCGTCG